TGACCGAATCAAGATTGGTTTCGGACTCGAACTCAGAAGTGGATCTACTGCCTAATCAGGAATCGGATCTACTGCCAAATCAGGTCAACAAATTGAGTCCAGACAAATCAACCGCACAACCGAATCACGGACAAAATGGAAACAACGACAAAAAGACAGGAACCCAAACACCCTGAGGGGCTCGGCAGCCGAGCCACCCAGGGGTGGCCGGCCACTTGTGGCCGAGCCACCTCAGCCCTGATCTGTGCCTAGGCACAGATCTGGGTGCCTATAAATAGGCCAATGGTGGTTCATTTGAGGAGGTTGGAACTTTGAGAGCCGTTACTCTGCCGAATTGAAGATTGAGCTTAGAGTTTTGAAGACTTGAGGACTTGAAGATTCAGATCTGATTCTCGGCGAGCGTCCACGTCACAAAAGGCAGGAGTTCGAGAGAGGTAAAAATCGGATCTAAGATCTACACGAGGCAACACTCCGGATCAAAGCTTGGCCTTTGATCCCGAGAACTAAAGGCTACTATTTCCTTGGTGAATTAGTACCCTACGGCTATTATTTCCTTTGTGAAATAATACCCGTCGAATCGTGTAGATCCGACCGGATCTAGATCGCGCGGTGGTCCACGGATTAACCCCGGCGTCGGCAAAGAACCCACGCAAGCAAGAGACCGCAAAACAGGATCTTGCGATTTGTTCTAAAGGAAAGTTGTAATTTTTTCTTTTTTCTTTGATTTCGTTGTAACCGGATCTAAAAAAGACCGGATCTTTTGTAACCGAAAAACAGTTATTCAAGACAACAATGAATTCAATGAAGGCAATTTTCACCGCGAACACCCACAACACTCTGGAAGTGTAAAAACAAAAATATTAATTAATAACATATAAGGATAACTCAATTTATTCTACACATTACACAATTAAGTTATCTTAAAATTACCTTAGCATGAGAGTATAACTCACATAGCTTCTCTATTTAGCCTTCGTCTCTATTGTCAAGTGTGAAGATTGCAGAAAGACGGTAATGCTTGCTTTGATGCACCAAGCACTAAAGATATCGTCTGTACAAATTATAGTAATTGTTAATGTGAAAACCCTAAAGAGATATTAGCTCTATCTTGAATGTTATTTATAGTGTTTAGAAAAACAAAGGAGTTTGTCCCTAACCAAAGTGGGACTAAACAAGGAATAAACAACTCTCTCAACACTCCCTCTCAAGCTGAGCATACATATCGTACATGTCCAGCTTGTTACAAGTGTAACTCATTCGTGTTCTTCAAAGAGGTTATGCAAGAATGTCTACGAGTTGATGTTCTGAAGGTATATACTTCGTTCTAATGATTCTTTTCTCCATGTCCAACTTGTTACAAGTGTAATTCATTCGTGTTCTCCCAAGAGGTTTTGTGAGAATGTCTATGAGTTGATGTTCTGACGGTATATACTTCGTTCTAATGATTCTCTTCTCCATCTTCGCATGAATCAAGTGACAATCAATCTCTATGTGTTTTTTCCTCTTAGGAAATACCAGATTCTCAGCCATATGAATGGCAACCTTGTTATCTCCATACAGGATCATAGAACACTCCAAAGGATAACTAATCTTTGTTAATATATCTCTAACCCAAATCAACTCGCAAGTCAAATTCGCTATGGCTTGATACTCAAACTTCATTGTAGATCAAGAGACTACACTATGTTTCTTACTCTAACTCCGCTGTAGATCAAGAGACTACACTATGTTTCTTACTCTTCCATGATATTAGATTTCTCTAAGTAACACACAATACCCGGTAATTAACTGTCTGTTATTAGGAGATCCTGCCCAATCTGCATTTGAGAATCATGCAACTTTCATGTGACTAAAATCTAAATAGATACTCCATGTTTTGGAGTTTTCTTGAGATACCTAAGAATCCTCTTCACAGCTTCTATATGAGGTTTCCTAGGTGCTGAGAAAAACTAACTAACTATACTAATGAGAAATGCAATATCTGGTCTCGTGATTGTTAGGTAGTTTAGTTTCAATACAGTCGTCCATATTCTTTAGTATCATCTAATAACTCCTCTTGAGTTGGTAATACTTTGACATTGTCATCTCTAAGTGAGTCAATGTCTTGCATTTAGATAGCCCAACATTTAGCAACATATCTGACACATATTTTCTCTGCGATAGGAGAATTTCATTCTTCGCTCTAGCCACTTTGGTACTCAGAAAATATTTTAAGGATCCAATGTCCTTAGTTTCAAATTGTTGTTATAGATACTTTTTCAAATGACTAACGTCCTATGCATCATTGTCGATGATCACAATGTCATTAACATATGTAACTAAAAGGATCCACTTTCCACCATGAAATCTCCATAAAATCGAGTGGTCTTTCTGAGCTCGATGAAGACTAAAAGTTCGGACAACTTCTACAAAATGTCTGAACCAAGCCCTTGGAGATTGCTTCAAGTCGTAGAGAGATTTTTTTTTAATTTCAAAACTTACCACACTCTCTTGAGTAACAAAACCTAGTGATTGCTCCATATAAATCTCCTTATCAAGAATGTCATTAAGAAACGTATTCTTAGCGTCTAACTGATGTAGTGGCCAGTGATAGCGAGCAGTAAGCAAAATAAGAATGCGAATATATGTCATCTTAGCTACAGGAGAGAATGTATCGATATAATCAATGACATAAATCTGTGAATATCCCTTCCCAACTAGTCGAGCTAGAAAACCATCTGGATTTACTTTCACAGCATAAACATATTTGCAACCAACTACTTTCTTACCTGGTGGTAGTGAATCAAGATTCCAAGTCTTATTTCACTATAAGGCAGTCATCTCTTCTTGCTATTACATCATCAAGTTCCAAAACTCTGATCTCTCTTTTATATCCAGTTGAAGACGTTTTTCATTTACCTTCTAAAGTCTTTTTGGGTCTTTATACTTTAATCATAATCATAATCCTCAACGGACGAAATTAGATTCAAAATCTCTTAAATATGTTTTTCTTGGATATTCTAGGACTCGAAAAGGGTACATGTGTTATTGTCCCTCCTTGAATTGGTATATTATTTCAGACGATGTTACTTTCTTTGAGAACAAACCAGAACATGTTACCTTTGATAAATGCTTAGACTCTTCCAATGATTATGACTACCTTCTTGTTCAGGAAACCACTATCAATGTTCCTTCCAAGACTGTTCAGGAAACCACTATCAATGTTCCTTCCAATGATTATGACTACCATCCAAGTTTGCGAAACCAGTTGAGATTTATACAAGACGTACTGCTCCGCAACCTGAGCCATTGTCCAAATCCACCTAAGAACCTAATATACTAGTAAGTCAAAATGTGCCTGTGTGACCAAGTGCTCAACCTACTAATGATCTTCCCACTGTCCTCTGAAAGGGAAGAGATCATGTTAATATGAAAACCCTAGAGAGATATTGGCCCTCTCTTGTTGTTGTTAATAGTGTTTAGAGAAATAAAGGGATTTGTCCCTAACCAATGTGGGACTAAACAACAAGAAATAAGCAACTCTTTTAACAGTAAACACTATAGAAATTAAGAGATTTTGATCGTATATATATAATTAAAGAAATGAACATGAAAAACTATATTTATAACCAAATTTCAGATCAAAGTAATAGAATTTATCATGGGTTATTGTGGATAGAACCAAAAGGGGTCCAAAAAAAATCTGAAGGAGGTCCATGCTCAATTAGGCGATAACAGGAGAATAAGTGAAAGAATCACACCTGTATAGTCTCGGTGCAGAGTCGAACTCTTGGAATTTTTGAAGGCATCTTATAGCGTCAAGCAATCTGTTTCAGTTCCTTGCCGGTCTTTTTCAAACAAAATATACCCATATACCGCGCAATCCGGAATATTGTGGAGCGAAAACTCCGGGATATCACCAAGATGGAGATCCAAGTTTTCGAGTCTTGGTGCAAGAACACTGAACTTGGAGACTGTAGATTCACAATTACAAAACATTGTCAAAGCTTTGAGATAGGGTTATGGAGAATGATTCAAGGACTGGAAGTCTGGAAATAAATTCTCCCAAGCTTGTCAAGAGTTTGAGGCTGCTTAAATTCGAAGGAGGAGGTAATTGCAAAGTGCAAGGAATGTAATCACTAGGCAAACCATGAGTAGGAGCAATCAACTTGAGTACTTCCTAACTCCGGCATTGGAGAAGGTTATCATAAAAACATCATGTTTTTCCGAGAGTGATATCAATATCTCTATCTCTCTCACTCCCTATTTCTTCGCGTAATCCCACCAGTTGTTCGCTTTGTGCATGTCGAAGCTGGGACGCCACACGAGGTGGCAATGGCTCTATCAGCCAAGCTTATGAAGTTGGTTATCGGTTTGCGGAGGAATTCTTCATGGTTGAAGTTAAGAACTGAACGCTTGGAGAGGATGGAGGTTTTTATGTAGAATTTGGTGGTGAAATCAGAGAAGGTTTTGTGAAGGATTTCTTCTGGCAAGCTGCTAAGTCTGTCTTTATTGGTTTTCCTGAGAGGTCTGCCCGTGTCTTTGCTTTCTTGAAGGAGAAAAGAGTAGTTGAATTTGTTTATGATCGTTCAGTTGATGATTGGGGTATTTGAGTTCTTATTAGATTCAAACTACGATTCAAATTTTAACTATGATGTTGATAAGGTAAAAATCCATAACTTATTCAAACCAAATAACCCTTACTAGGTATCTCGTAATTAAAAGGTCATTTTAGTCTGGCTTCTTTTGGATTCAAATTATAATTCCCTTTGAAAAGAGTAATAAGGTTAACTGTCAGATTGTTGCGGATAAAGGCTCTGTCTTCTATCGTTGCAAATAGACCCCCTAACCCTCAACTCCATTAGTTTCAGGTTAAGACAGGACTATACAAATTGAAATATAGGAATTTCATAGACAAATTTACCACCCTATTATATAACCTCGTATAATGACAATGACATAAGTAATTTAAAAAAAAAATACTAATGAAGTTGGGAATCTAAGGGATCTATTTGCAATGATAGAAGTAAAAGGGGTCTATCTGCAATTATCAATCATTCTATATTGCTATGTAATAACCTCAACAGATATACCCTATTACATTAAAGGAGTTCTCCCAGCCTTTAGGTTTTACATTGTTCACAATCTGCCAGGTTTCGTAGCTGAAAGCATCACAAAGGGACCATTCCTTGTACAAGTGAAGTCAACAAGGCCAGAGGCTCTGCAGAGATCTTTGAGCTCGCCTTCGGATAGAAAGAGGTTGTTGCTTGATGCCCTTGTAAATATCTGTAACCATAATGATGCATGATCAAAATAATTGGAAGATGCAACCAACTCTGATTATTAGGATTTTCACTGTGAATATTATAAATTTGATGCTATGGGGGAAGCCTGTAAATATGAATATTAGACAAGTCTATAACTCCATTATTGAAATTAGATGTGATACATTTAGAAATGGAGTATTATTTGATAATGGATAAACCAATTTGTTTGTGCGTAGTTGATTTAAAAATTTGATACATTAGAGTTACAATGTCTACCTTGAATATGCTACTATTCTATGTTAGAGAGTAATCTACTAAACATAAGAAAAAGGTATTGCGTTAAATCAAATGGCTGCGTGCATCACTACTATTACAACGAGAATGATTATCATTATAAATTATAATCACTATCATCATAGTCATGACCATCAATATCATAGTTGTCAAAGAACCATGCCACTACACCTGAACTTCAAAGAATTGTGACCGTGGAATCGAGCCTAAGTTGCTCTGACACAATGTTAAGGGATCCTACCACTGCACTGTCCCATTTTTTTCTATATTATCGTTCCATCTATTTTTTCTAAATATGAATCTAGATAATCTAAATATGACTCTAAAAATATAAACCTCCGAACTGGTGCTGAGGGTTGATGTTTATAATTTAATATTCTAACAATTATCATTATTGTCATTATCTCCATTGTTACATAATTAAGTCAGCACTGGTTCGTAAAGCTGCCTGAGTTCTATTTTTCTTCACACCTAACTGCGATTTATACTTTTGATCCTAATATCTACACGAAACAATATGTTCCCTAGGAACCAAGTCAAATATCCACTGACCTATGAAAAATTGTCAAGGCACTTAATTCTTCTGAAAAGAAAGTTTAGTTACCTGACGTACAGCCCTGAAGACTGGAACAGCTGGGTGAAAAACATCAAGAATAAAGGTTGTGGCAACGAATACACCTCCAGGGCGCAGAACCCTGCTTATTTCTGCAACCTAGACAAGACCAATAAATTCAAGAAAAAAGGCAAATTTTCTGATTTCATGGCCATATCTCACTTCAATATGGAACAAAAAAAAGGAGCGTAGTTGGTCATCCTCAGATCAGAAATATAAACCCCCGGAATCTATTGTCAGGTGATTGAACCATTTCTGAATGTGAACCATTTCTGAATGTTGTCGACTTGCTATACACAAAACTGTAACACTGAATCACGAATACTTGTAACAGCAATGAAAAAGTGCTGACTTGAAAGTTTAATTGCTGATTCTATAACCAAAGACTTATCCAAGCAAGGCAATAAGACTTCTTGAGCAACACAAGGTGATGGCTGCTATAAATCAAATCACACTACCACATCATTGTTAACAAACTTACATAAAACATAACGATTATCAATGTTCAAAAGGGCGAAAGTGCAAGGCAAACCATTAGACCATTTTATGAAGCAAGGCATAACCTTCAAGGCGTTAGGCATAAGCCTCATAAATCAAGTATATTTTAAGGACAAATTTTCAAAACCAACCTATTTGGAGTTTTATTCCCCAAAAACGACCCCATTCAAAAATAATTGCAAAAACCGACCTGGTTTCAGCCTCAGCGCTGAAACCAGGTCGGTTTTTGAAAAAAACTCTCCGAAACTTCACGGGAGTTGAACTCCCGTGAAGTTTCATAGTACAAAAAACTTCACGGGAGTTCAACTCCCGTGAAGTTTCGGAGAGTTTTTTTCAAAAACCGACCTGGTTTCAGCGCTGAGGCTGAAACCAGGTCGGTTTTTGCAAATAAAACTGAATGGGGTCGTTTTTTGGGAATAAAAATCCAAATAGGTTGGTTTTGAAAATTTGTCCTATATTTTAATTTTAAGATGTATAAATATTATAAATATATACTATAGTTGTATGATAATTTACAAATAGATACATTAGGTGATTAGTAAATAAGAACTAAATATGCAAAGTATAGACAGAAGTCATAATAAACTAAGTCACATACAAGATATACATCTTATTTATAGGCAAATGATCAAATTGTAGAAACATGACCTAAAGTACAATTCCTTGAATGAGCTAAACCGCTGCAATGATTCAAAACTCCAAACACAAATGGACTAAGAATAGGCTCAGCTCACAAAAAAGAGAAAAGATCGAATGCTAGAGCCGAATAAAAATCCACCTAGACAAAAAAAAATCAACTTAATCTCAGATTGTTGGAAGACAAATTGAATCAACAAAATTCACCCCGAGCATGCAAAAGAAGCATATGTGCAATACTGCAATGATTAGATAAGACAATTGCAATAAAGAGAAAAATCCTTGAGACTTAGGAAAGGAAAATGAAGAGATAGGGGCAATCTTGTCTAAGCAAGTGCTTCAAGAGAGAAGTGCTTCATTGAGCGCAAAGCGCATACTCAATTATGCTTTAAATGATGAGGTGTATGCTCCAAGGAACAAATAGCTTTCTGTTTGATTTCAAAGCGACTACCCTTCAAAAGTTTTGAAGAAAGTCTCAAAGCACAAGCTTCGAAAAGCTTTTTCTAACACTTGTTTTGCAAATATGCGGAATGTTCAGACATGGGATCTCCAAAGTTATTTTTTCAAACGCACGTTCTGTTGATACTTGAAGCTTCAAATTAAAGTTCAAAACAGGTCCTGTTATGTGCCTTCTGAAAGACCATATAATAGATCAAATAGTAGTAAACTTACCGCAGCAGATGGTGATGGCCAGCAATGCAATGCAGCTCCAGCATGCACAGCATCAACAGAACTTGAAACAAAAGGAAGTCTAGAGATATCAGCCCTGACTAAAACTAAGTTCCTAAAAGGAAAGGCGACCAATGTTTCAAGATAGAGTAACCAATAAAATCACATCACTAAAAAAATAAATCTATCTATTTAGAGAAATTGAGTACAGAATATTACTCCTTTGAAATGTTCTCCTGTTTAATAAATTCATCACATTGCCGCAGCATATTCTCTGAGAAGTCCAAAGCCACAACAAGTGAATACAATCCGCTCTTTGCAAATAGCCTGGAAAATAATCCGCTCCCACAACTGGCATCGATAATCATTCCTCCAGTGGCGGCCTCAAGGTAACCTTTAGCCATTTCAAACTACATTGAACTAAATGTGTTAACAAAATAAAAGGTCCACAAGAAATCTGTTAAACTGCCTTAAAAAAAACTACTTCCGTGAATACAACTTCTTATTTATGTATTTCTCTAAAGTAATTCTTAAATTGATTGTTCTTGATACTAATTTTGTTTGCTCTTCCAAATTCCTCGTTCCATGAACTGCATGTGACATTGATATTAAAAATGTATAAAATGTGTAGATAATATAAACAGGTGGTGGGTCCAAAACCTCTCTTTCTGGGCCGGGGAAACCACCCCAAACAAAATTTTGACGCCATCCTCTCTCATATAGAAAAGATACCAATGGGGTCCTGTTCCAAACAATTATCTATAAGAATGAATAATAAGTCCACTAGAAAGAAATGGCTTCAGGTCTTCAACTTACTACTACTCAAGTTACTGGAGAAAACCTTTAGTTATCCCTGAGGAAAAGTTGTGATTTAAAAAAACTTATACAGTGTAGTCAGATATGCCTAAATAGAGTTGTCATGATATACTTCTTTATTTGCAGCATCACTGGTAAGATCATACAAATTTTATAATAAAAGAGAAAACTCTGGGTTTTAGGCATTGATTACCGCTTTTTCACTTTTGGAATAATTATTTTTCTTGACCACAATTCAACAAGTCCAGATGATCACATAGGAGTTATATCGAGGTTTTGAATGTAATGTAATACAATTAATCACAGATGAAGGAACTAAAATTGACTAAAATTGACAATTCAATAAGTCCAGATGATCACATAGGAGTTATATCAAGGTTTTGAATGTAATGTAATGTAATACAATTAATATTTACAAAAAGAAAAGACAGAAAGAAAGTAAGCATTGGGAAGGCTTACAAGTAAAGCTTGGTTTTTTGGCTATTAGTCCCTCATATCTTTGATATTTTGAAATTAGTCCCTCAAATCATTAAAAGTGCTTGTATGTACCCCAATTCTTAAGTTATTCTGAAATTAGTCCCTCAAATCACTGAAGTTGCTTTAGGTTCCCCAATTCTTAAGTTATTTTGAAATTAGTCCTCCAATTAATAGTAGAAGTAGCTACTAGAGTTACTAATTTGAAACAACTTACGAGAATTGGGAAACCTAACAGCAATTACAATGATTTGAGGTACTAATTCCAAAATAACTTAAGAATTGGGGGTCCTAATTGCAGTCTCAATAATTTGAGGGACTAATTTGAAAATATGAAAGATTTACAGGACTAATATTGAAAAAGCCTTAAATATGTGATATCAGAAAGGATGGTGTAAATCTATTTCTTCAATCACAGTTATAAGTAAATAGAGAACTACAACAATGGTAATAGGCACCTGAAAAGCTCTGTTGCAGCTGGCATAGTTTCATCATACTCCTTAGAGCCACCAGACAGAGTCAGATCAAGATATATGTCATTGTCAAGGTAAGATTTCTTGCAAGTAGAGCATTCAACTAAAGAGCCTGACGTGGTAGTTCTGTGAGAAATTCATTCATTATTACATTAAGAAATAAATGCCAAGTAACTAAAGAAGTAAGTATTGAGAAGAGAATAATGAATCCTTGATTAGCAAAATTCACAAGATATAATGAGCAAATAGGTGTATAAGATAACCATTCATGATGGCAAACTGAAAAGCTTACATGGATTGTTGACTTCTATTGATCAGGGGATAATAACAGATAGGACAGGCAAAAAGATTCATGCTAGTGCTGACTTTTGCATCTACAGTTAGATCCTGAAGAAATTAAAACAATGTAAAGAAATCTTATTAGAGCAAACAGCGGTATATTTGAGTGTTAGGAAGCTCCTGACAGGGCAATCTAATAAATACATACAATTGAAGAAATCATAACCGTGCAAACAATATGAGGCATAAAGGTGGTCTCTTTAGTAGCATTGTTTTAAATATTCCCGGTACATTCAATATAACGGTCAATATATCCTTTTATAAGGTTTGTCATAAAATGATATGGCCTCAAATCCCATGCCACTTTTGGCAATTTTTGGGCTATATATTTTCGATATTGCTGATACATCAACCAATATGTTGGCCGATATGTCCTTTTACAAGGCTTGTCGCAGTATAATATAGTTTTGTAAAATTTCTTTAATTATTTTTAATAAAACTTCCAGCCCTATGAAGTTTTTAGCAAAATTCCAATAGGCTCTTTTCCCTAAGCAAATTTCAGCAATTGACTAGTGATCCTAAACATACGTTATTCAAATTTTCGCATGCTTAGATTTCATTAGGTATGCTTAGATAACATTTTAGGATAATATATTATATATGCACGTCATCCGATGTATGACACTCCGTTATTTACTACATAACCCCAATATTTTTCTCTATATCCGCAATCTAATAAGGATTTTGGCTGTATGGATATTCCATGATATCCAATATTTGAAACCGTATTTAGTAGTTAAACATACTTATAGGGCTGTAATAATTAATATAATAAGTGATAAAGTTTATCTGAGAGTAACAGGCTATGTAACTGGTGTTCCTCTAAAGAAAGACATACACTTAAATGGGCGAATATGTTTCAAAGTTAAATGTGTATAAAAGGCGTTGTGAGTCTCACTAGTCACTAATAACTATGAACAAAAGTTCTACTTGAACAATGGGCTTCACAATTCTAAATTGTGGACAAAAGTTCTACTTGAACAATGGGCTTCACAATTCTAAATTGTGGTGTCTTTATATATTTCTTCTTTGTAAATAAACAAACATATAACATAATAATTTCATTTCCTTTTCTTTTATTTTCCTATTTACTTAGCTTACTCAAGTAAGCTCTCTGTACCTCCCTCTTATGAAATAAAAATGGCTTAATTGCACTTCAATACCCTAAAGTTTCACTCGTTTTGAACTTTGATACCCCCAAATTTATTTTTGCCATTTGATACCCCAAAGTTTCACCCATTTCAAACTTTAATACCCCAAATTCTATTTCTGCACATTTAGTACCCCCGTGTTTCAGAAAATTGTGATTTAGTAGCCTCTGTATGCGAAGCACTTTTTATTTTATGTTAAATTTAGACCACGCGCTGAACACGACCCAATTTGGTGTCTTATAGACATGTAGTCATTAAAGACAACCCTGAAATGAGTGGGAATTGTCAAACTCTGTGGTCACACATCTCATTTTGGATGTTTACTTCAACTCTTCTACCCACTTAAGGGCGTGTATAATGATAACGTGAGTATAGAAATCCCAATGAGATCACATGGTCAGCACTTGCTCTGAATTAAACGGAAAAATATATGATCCTTCATTGGGTATCAAATTGGCAAAAAATAAACTTCGGGGTATCAAAGTTCAAAATGAGTGAAACTTTAAGGTATCAAATGGGTAAAAATAAACTTTGGGGTATCAATGTTCAAAATATGTGAAACTTGGGTACCAAAGCGCAATTGAGCCAATAAAAATAGGTGAAATTTTGGTTGCCTTTCACTTTTTTTTAGAGTAACAATATTGCTAGCGAGTTAACATGTGCCTTAAACGAATAACATAATTTAATTGGCAATGAGATATAACCTTCAGGGCGGCCAATTTTATGTGATTTAAGACATGGGTTTGCGAGAAATATACGCATAAAATCAGCAATAACTTGAAATAGAGCTCCAAAAATAGATATTTAAAGAGTGCTCGTTACAAGAGAAATAGCCAAGGGAATTCACCGGTTCGATTTCGGTAGCAGAAGCGGCCGCTCGAACCGCAGCTAAGCGACGAGGTTTGAACATTGGATTTCGATGGCCGATGAAGCGCCCTCTTGGGATCAGTAGGCTTTTGCAACCTCCTATAATGGTCACCATGGCGCTCTCTCTCTCTCTCTCTCTCTCTCTCTCAAAAGTGTACAATTTTGGAGCTCAAACGCTGAGAATCTCTATCTCTCTCAAAAAGTGTAGGATTTTGGAGCTCAAACGCTGAGAATGGAGCGGCGGTTGAAAGGCCACGATTTTTCTTTGGGTTTTTCGATTAGTCCCTAACATCTTTTATCTTATGAAACAGTCCCTACCATTGAAATTGCTATTGCGTTCCCCGATCTTAAGTTAATTTGACACTAGCACTTAAGTCATAGAAATTGCTATTATGCCCCCTCGAAATCTGACATGACTCCTCATTATATTTTTACTTCTCCCTGGATTGTTACCATACAGCTTCTTGCATGCACAAGGAAACAATTAGCTTGGAAAGTAATCAAGTACAACAATTTTTCACTTCAGCCCCATTTTAATTTTTTTTATTTAAATCGATTTTTTTTTTATTTACCAAAACCGACCCGATTTTTTGATTAGCAGCTTAATCACCTTTCTAAACAGTTGGGGTTGACAACCCCGACTATTTAGGACATTAATTTTTAGGGTTTAAGACTTCTAATTAGGGTTTAACACCCTCCTAAACAGTCGGGGTTGGCAACCCCGACTATTTAGGATGGTGATTAGGCTGCTAATCAAAAAATCGGATCGGTTTTGGTAAATAAAAAAAAGGGTCGATTTAAATTAAAAAAAATTAAAATGGGGCTGAAGTGAAAATTTATTCTAATCAAGTATCCATTAAGGATCAAAAGCCAGACATAAAGTTGTGTGTGCCTGAAGATTTATCTAGCTGTCTCACTACTGTCCCAAAACATAAGGATAACTGAAATATAATATATTTTTAGTTAATTATGGTTAGCATATTACATTGTCAAAAAGAAAAATATCTTCTTTTAAACAGTATCAAAAGTTTCGCTGATCCAATTTGTTTATATAAGATATTAAGAGCTAAAACATACATTTTGCTACACCAACATTACATGCAAAAAAAAGGGGGCTAATTGCGAACAGACCCTTTGTAGTATCATCCAGTTGCAAAGAGCCCTCATGTAATTCTACTAATTGCGAATATACCTCTTTGTAACTCTACTTGTTGTGAATAGGTTCCATGTAGTATTGATCCAAGTGTAAATACACCCCTCGTTAAAGTTATTAATATGTGAGTATAGACCCACATTAGATATGATAATAAAGACTGATGAGTTTAAAATAGGAGATAGGGTCAGTACCTAATAACTATAACTTTTGGGTTTAAATTAGTTCCCAACCTCTATTTAAATCTCATCATCTCCTAGATTAGGCCCGATTTCTCCCCCATAAATGGTATCAAAGCTAAAGATAAAGTGAAAATAACAATAATAAAGTTCGAAAGTGCTGGGAGAATGATTTAGGTCAATTTAGACCAACTCAAATACAGATGTTTTTTAGTGATATGCTGAATGCATGGTTAGGTAAACCCATAAGTGAAGTGCTGCAAAAATTAGTGATTCTCGTAAAAAAAAATTTAATATAGCGAAATATTAGACTATATTCACAAATTAAGGGGGAGAAGTTGATTAGTAATTATGAGTATAGTCCTGAATCGGATACGATAAGAAAGAGGGACAATACCTAGTAGCTATATCTTTTTTATTAAATTAGTTTATAACCTTTGTTTAAAGCACATCACTTCCTAGATTGGGCTCCATTTCTCCACAACACCATGTAGTAAACTTTTTCAACTCTTTTAGAAGTAAAAAAAAAGTTAGCAATTGGATATTTATCCTCACCCTAGAACTATAAAGGGTCTGTCTGGCTCCTCACAATTTTAACAGTTTTCAAATCTAAAAAAAAATCACTCAAGGAGCTATTCCCAACAAGTAGAATTAAAGGGGTTCTATTCACAACAAATAGAACTATATGGGATCTTTTTGCTACTACAAGGGCTTTGTTTGCAATTAACCCAAAAAAACATTGCATGAAAGATTCATCTTGTTACTTTTTCACCCTCAATTTAGAGAATAATTTAGTCTTTGACAATTAAACTAAAGGCAAAAGATAAGTTTTGCCACGTGGTTCTCAAGCGACATGTTAACCTAATATCGGAAATAATGCTTTCTGGAGTTCAAGGATATATGTGAACACTCCCATAGTACAAGAGATGTATCTATATATTAGCTAAATGTTTTACTCTAGTTTTTGCCTATTTACTCCTCTACACTTAAAAGGAGAACCTAAAGAATATTGAATGCTATAGTATTTACTGTATTGTGAACAATAAATTGAATTAAGTTACTGTTTATGCTACAATATTTTATCGCAGCATAAACAGTAAATCAAATACGCTCCTCCATATTTGATGTTACTATTCATCCTACAGTGTTACTGTATCATAAACAGTAAAGCAAATCAAATGTATTATAACTTGGACCATTCTTTAAGTATAAAGGAGTTGATATGATTTCTAAATCAAATGTATTAAAACTTGGATCATTCTTTAAGTATACAGGAGTATATATGATTTCCAATTTTAAGCATACAATAATTAAATCAAATGTATTAAAACTTAGAGGGAGACAAGTTTAAAATATAGTGCTTAAAAAAACGGGGGGCGTGCTTTGCACGGGATGCACACTAGTGGATAGGGGTGGAAATGAACCAAATAATTAACAAATAGTTTGATAATTATTCAAATAACTATTCGGTCATATTCGATTCGGTAGTTCATTTACCACGAAATAAATATTTTTTAGTATTCGAGTTTACTAACAAATATAATTTAACCAGACGTATATTCGATTTGTTTATCTATTAAATATTCGTTTAAAATTTGATCACAGCCTATTATTTGTATTATTACACATATGATGTCATATTTTTAACCCACTTACCATTTCTACTTAAGTTTTATATACTAATTTTAAGACTTAAATAATCTTAAATCTATTTTCTGATTAAAATTTTGATTTAAATATATATACATCACATATTATAAAGTAATAATTTTTATTTATGAATTTTAATACTATTTGAAAATCAAATTCCTTAGCGGAATAAATATACTTTGATATTCGATAAGTATTAGTAAATATTCATGAATATTTATCAAATACCAAGTATTCGAGTTCGAATTCGAAAAACTAGATGTATGAATATTAGAGTCTGCATTCTAATTCGATAATTTTAAACAAATACAAATACGTACACCTTAGTACTTGATTCGATTCGATCGTCTACCACCCCTACTAGTGGACCATAATTATAAAATCCTAAATGCAATGCACAAAATAAGGACATCCTTAATTTGGACATAAGAATACTCCTATTCTATTGTTGTATCCATTTATTTGGCAGAATAATTCTACACGATGCAAAAACTTGATGAACACTCCTCTCTTGATTCCCTTAGCACGTGAGCAGCGCGCGAGTCTCGGCCCCTCCATTGTTCTTCGTCCCATCGCCCAGCTTGCAACCTTAATTTGAGCGCACGCCAACCAAATTTGTTCGGATCCCAAACAATAATGGGCCCCATCACCACCTCGCGGCCCACTCCAAGTAGATTGGGTCTTCTTTGGTCCAACGTCCACCGACGAAGGGAGAGACAAAATGGCTACGGTAGACCAATTGTTGTGTACACTATTGCTCAGTTGCGGATAGACTCATGTAGTTTTATTTGTCAGTACGAATTTTCTCTACTATATGTATAAGCTCCTCACTAGTAGAACAACATAGAATCTATGCCTCTCATCAAAACCTTTTTACTCTTTTAGGGGTAAAAAAAAATCACTGAGTACCTTTATGAAGGATCCACACAAATATAACTATAGAGAGTCTATCCATAATTGAGGGATAATACAATGGGTCTATCCGCAACTGAGAAAAATCTTAACATACAACTCTAGAGTTTTGATGAATTGGCGGTTGCATCTTTTTTGGTGGGGGTACCTTAATCACGCATATATCACTTGCTAATTGATTAACGTAAGGTTTGAAGATACCTCGTGAGATTTAGTATATTCCTTGATTCTTTAAAAAAAAAAGTATATTCCTTGATTTAATTGTTATAGAGATTCCCTGGCCAAGATAAGTAGCACCTTTTGCATAATGGTAATTGTTTAATGGGACTTCAAATCGTGAAGTATTAACATTTTTGTCAATTTTCTAGAGTCATGGGCGACATGTCACATGGCAATGGAATGTTAATAAGTATATGTTCGCTTACTTACAAGCTTTACTTTTACAAGCATAAGTAGGGTGAATTTGCACAAAGAAAATTAGTGGAAATTGCGCTTTTATGTAAAGTTGAGAGGCTTTGATAAGGTGGGAAGGAAGAAATGGAAGACTGGAGGGAAAACACAAGAAGAAATGTTTTTAGAAATTATAGATTTGTATGGTTTTTGAGAGAAAGAATAAAGAGGAGATGTATTTTGTAAAGATCATTTTACATCGCATTGTAACATATAAAAAAATCACTTTCACAAAAATTATTTTTGATAGAATAGTTACTATACATCTGTTATGGTGTTCTCATTCGCCTGAGTGCAACTCAGTGCTGAGCAACGGATAAGTGTATTTCTGCATGCTATGCCCCAATCAACTTGGCGACCAGAGACCATTATGGACAACCATTCCGCTGACTCGACGACTCGACATTTCTTCATGTCGACTCAAAAGGCAGAACTTGTCGCCTCCCTTTTGTCGAAGACGACTCACCGAGTCCACTCGACCACTTACTAGATGCCTCACGAGGACGACTCGATGGACGTTACTTCTCGGCGAAGCTAAAGGACAACTTCTGCCTCGAGTCTATCCTCTCTAGCAACGTGTCCACATCGCATTTGATGCTTATTAGGCGCATCAATGCCCCTAGCCCCGATAGCATTCATGACTCATCGGACCACATGGGCACTGTCATGTCGCCAGTCACTTCTTGTTTAATGCCGAAGTGATCCATCCCCCACTCGCTAGCCACATCTGTAAAGCAGGTGCTGACGTAGTTGCCAGCCCACACTTTCTTACCGCATTCCTGTAGTCGACCAAAGTGACCAATCTATCCTTACATCCTAAGTATATATACAGATACTATTCTACCTTACAGAGGGCTAGAATTTTGGATTTGAATCGAGAGCTTGATTTCCAAATCTAATCCTTAAGCAAT